CTAATCCAAACATCCAGTAATCCACTGTCCACGGTATCCACTATCCACCTCTTTTTCTTTCCTAATCGTCGCGATGTCGCCTAATCCATGGAAGATGATTATGATGGGTGATTAATATTTATTATTCAAATTTATAATAGTACATATGACACTAGGTTTTTTGGTTTTAATGTTTAAAGCCCATTAAAGGCCCAGACCGCCTAAACCGGTCAGACCAGACCGCCTTTTCGTGATCTGGTTTGACCGGTCTGGGCACTTGGTTTCAAATCGCTCGGTCTGAAATTTTTACAAACCGCCATTACGGTTTGGTTTGTGGTCTGAGGGCTTAAACCGCCCAAACCGGACCGCGAACACCCCTATAGCTAGATGATCAAGATTTTCAAAGGGCAAAATGGGTATTTGTGTTTGTTTTTATCACTAGGGTTGCGTTTGGTATGTAGGACTGGATAAAACTCATTATCCCATGTTTGGCACAGCATGAGACAAAACAATGACTCATTGTCTCACGTTTGGCGTGACATGGGACAAAGACAAGAGTTGTCACAAGGTGGGACAACATAGGACAAAAAAAGTTTTTTCTTGTTCCATCAAGATAGGTGGAACAAGATGGGATAAGAACGAGACAAAAACTAAAATATTACTATTTTACCCTAGTTATAACCTTAATATGGTATTTGTTTTAATGGTTATCACCACTTGGTGGGTGCGCGTCCACCTCCACCTCCTCTTCCACTACAATTATGATAATTATGATATTATTTATACTTGCATGAGATACAGTTATGATAATTATGATATTTAATGTCATAATTTATCACTCGTTGTTACTGATGTACTGTTAAATTACATAACTGCTCCATTTATGATGATTGATTATTATTTTGAGTATAACAGCTACTTTTGAGTGATTTTTATTATGTGTATTTAAATCATATGACCAAAAGTCAGATCGTGAAATAGACATTTGAACGTACCTGATATTTTTATAACAGTATGTCATGTGACACGTTAATCTTTTGATGGGAAGGATAAAATTGGTCCAAAAAGTATCTACTTGACGTGAACCAATTTTTGGGACCATGATGTCGTACTGGTAGTTAGATTTACACATGAAATGATTTAAAGCAACAACCGTAGATCCATGAAGATTATAAATCGTTCATAAATGAGAGGAAATATGTAGCAAACGGTTTTATTTATCGTATAAAGGATGTTCATTTAGACTCGTCCAAACAAAAATAGATCAATTTTCAAAATACATCATTGAATATTAGGTACTCTAACTTGGACAAATTGTATGAAAATCTAACGTACTTGATCTGATTCTTATTTTGGGTAACGTACATTTAAAATATCCATTTTGGTACATAAAATGTAACATTATAAATATTTAGGTATTTGAATAAACGATTTAACCATACATCGATTACCATGCTAACATACGAATGATGTGACGTACAACTTAATATTTGTTTATATGACAAATGAGATTGATTTTTTTTATAAACTTAATATATATATATATATATATATATTATTTGAATTTTTATAATGTTATTTGTAAATTATTTATTTTTATTATACAACTAGTATGGGAACCGTGCGTTGCACGGTAGCATGAGTACTTTGATAAATAATCTGAAGATTGTCTATATAAATATGTATTAGTTGTTAATAGAATTATCAACAAATAATATTTAAATAATTCTAAAAAGTTAAATAAAATATAATTAGTGAAATTTTAATATATATATATATATATATATA